ATAATTTTTCACTTATTCTTCACACATTTCCAGAAGATTTCCCCGTTTATTTTCCAATAAGAGTTTTCTTAAAGCACTTTACTTAAAAGGTAATTTGAATTAAGTCCACAGAGGCGCATCTAACCCTTTCATGCTAAAGCACCCGTCAAGCGTTTTAAGCTCAATCCTTTAATCATCCCATCACCCTCTGATATAAGTGAATTACTGCTTGTTGAAGATCAGCTTGGTTTTCACCAAAGCCGGTGAATCTCTTATCCCGTCGCAACAGAGCGCACAAGAAAATAACGAATAGTAAATCTAATAGCATTTGCATAGCAATTGCTTCGCGCAAAGATGCATTGAGTTTCCGCTGGGTGTCTGGGTTTGTGAGGCAAAAATTGAATAAGACGGAGCTCGTTTGATGGAAGGGCATTGAGGCAAGGAGTAAACGAGATTTGCTCTTTGCACTCTTTCACAGCACACAGCTCATAAAATTAGCCTTGGATGGAGAAATTGTGTACACACTAAAGGAAGTTCATGGACACAATCAAACCCAAGGGCTGGAGAAAAAGTCATGACTCTTGATAATAATATTAATAATGTAACATGTAAATCCACCTAAAAAAAATCAGGACACAATTATGATTCAAGAATTTTTTTCTATTATTCTTATGATTATTATTATTATTATTATGAATTTTATTATTATTATTATTTATTAAATAAATGTGCATCTCTTTACTTTTTTTGTTAATTCCGTAATATTTTTTGAAACTTTTTCAAAATGTTAACAAATTATAGTTTATAGATAAATTATTGTGCACATTATTGATTGACAAATTATTTAAAAGTAATTTAATTTTAATCATCTTGTAAATATAAATAAATTTAGAGTTAAATATTTTTGCCGCACTTTACCTTTTGATTAAATTTTCCAGGTGGATTTTTCTGTTATAAAAAGATAGATTTTTGCACGTATGACTAATTTACGAGTATTTTTTTTACGTAGCCTTGTCAAACGAATTTACTATCTCTGCAAATGCTGCATGTTTGCTTGCTTTCCATTTCGGATCCGTCGCCAGTGAAAAATTGTTCCGCCCATTCCGTGTTGTCCACGTTTTGCTGCACGAATTTAAACGCGTGACGTGTCGTCCGTCGGTGCCAAGTGCTGGCCATTATGCAAATGGAGTCGCACTTGAAACTCCGCAATTCGCGACCTCGCCAAGGTCTCACGCTAACAAGCAGCTTTTTCGCGCGCCGTTCGGCTTTTTCTTCCATCAAACGCGTCGTTCGTTCTCTTTGTTTGCCAAAAAGGAGCGACGCGGCTTTCACGGCCCGACGGGCTCAACTGTGGATTTCGAGTGTCTCGCGAAAGGATTTGCATTCTAGATTTTTGAAGGAAAATCAATTTCGACTCGGGATAAGAGAAGGAAAAAGAAAGAAATGGAGGAAGCACTCTTCTTGAAAATGTCCTCAGAGAGACGTGTCTGGCATTCTTTGCTTTTAGCCGGATGGAAAATTGTGGAATATTTTTCATTTTTTGTTTCAATGTAGTTATTCACAGATAATATTGAGAAAAAAATTGGGATTAACATTATTGAATTTTCTAACGTAAGATATGAAGCAGATTTATAATTAAGAGATTAGATTAAATTAAATTTTTTTCTGTAAAATTTGCTCTATGTGAGACACTTTATATTTTAAGCAAAAATATACTGCAAATTACACAATCTACTAACTCCATCTAGGCTGTTTATAATTATATATTTATTATTATATTTCTATCATCGGAAAAAATATCTTAATAAAAAAACAATTTACAATATTATTATTTTTGCATTTTTAAATAAGAAGTTCAGGTATATCTGATTAATTGGTAAAAATTATCAAACAATGAATTGTGGAACTATGTATAACTGTTGTGAATATTATATATTATGTAATATAACAATTGAGAATTTTATATGTAAAATTAAAGTTCAAAATGTTGTACTTTTTGTAGTTCAATTTTCTATAATATTTAAAAATTAAATAATTTACTTAATTTCAAAAATTTAAGAACAGTGAAACTGAAGTTTTATGTTCTATAGTTTATAATAACTTTGAATTTATGATCGGTGTATCTTGATATGGGCCTCTGAGGTATATCAATAAATATTATTTTGCAACTAGTTTAATGGAATTTAAAAGACATTCCCGCAATTTGAAAATTAGTTGAAGGGTTGTTTTAATTTGAAAAATTTCTTTTCACGACGAGTTCCAACTATAATAGTCTGCAGCTACAAATAGGAGTTGAATTTTATAGTGCATATAAAACTCAATCAAACTTTACCTTTTCCACGCAACCCTTTCTAAAGACAGAGAAAACGTTTATTCAACAAGAAATTGAAAATTGAAGAAAGTTCTAATGATCAATTACGGCTGGGTGACAGCTGTGCGCACACAATGACGAGAAAAGATACGACTGCTGGGGACGCGACTGCAAATTGAAAATTTCTTCCGCTCAAACAAACTGCCGTCTCAGAAATTTCTTCATTTAAACCGCGCTGCTCGGGAATTTTTCATCTCAAGATAAAATTCCAGCGCAGCACTTTTTCCACCTGTGCCTCAAAATATGCCATTATTAAACTCGCAATTTCACGCTTTTTATTTCCGCCTTCCCTGCAATGCAAACATACTTTGTTGAGGAGAAAAAAAAAGATGAATTTGCAATAAACGTACACTTTTTTTTCCGTGTGCCTGGGGAAATATATACATACACATGCAGAGTCCTGTTTCACAAACACTAAACATGAAACCTGCACCCGAGGTATTGATATGAAACTAACAGGGCTCAAAGTATTATACACATTTTGAATGTAATTTTATCCTTGCTCTTCTGCTGAAAGTCGGATCAAGTATCAATATTTGGAGCTTATTAAATTACAAATATCAGGAAGGGGTCAGGAAGGCTTTCTTTTTCATACCACAGAAGGTTGCACAAGGCTTCATCTTTCTATTTTTATTTTTTTTTCAGACGATAAAAGAATTATCACTTTGAAAATTGAAATAAACCTATTGTGACTTCAATAAACCGTGCAAATTGATATTATTTATCAAATGAATTTGCACGAGTTGAGCTAAATTTATTTCAGTCCACAACGCATTTCAATATATTTGATACTGGATTTAATTTACGGGGTTTACATGTCAGCACCATTGCAAAATATTGCAAATATATTCGATTTTCAGCCCTCACAAATGAAGTAGTTGATTAATTTCCCAGCAACGCGGTTGATTGGTTTTTCCCTCCGACATTTGCACTCTCGCCGCGTGTACAAACCGCGCTCACGTTTCCCGCGGGCACTTGAAATAGGTCAGGCTGATGGTGAGCTTCACCTCGGCACATAAAAATGCACGCCTCGCTTTGATCGCTCGCTTCTCTCGAACGAAACTCTCGCTCAATGCTGATTGAACAAGTTTTTCAATCTGCGCGAAACGCACCTGAAGTTTCAACAAAATCTGAAGCCAAAGGCGTTGGATCCGCCGACGGAAGTCGCTAGAGCGGATGCTGAGCTTTGATCGCGAGAGTGAGTTTGAGGCTCTCGCGATCTACCATGTTTTGTCTAAAAGTCCTTAGGGAGAACCCTCGAGAGCTTGGCAGATTGCTCTCCGAAATCAATTTCCTAAACACTGAAGGGAATTAATAACGTTCCATTATTTTGATCTGGAAATAGTGGAAATCTAGATGCAATTTTATCCAGTAACTTCCGCTCTGGTTAGCTGGAAAATTACCACATTTTTTACAATATTAAACTAACAATGTATCAGGACTCTGAAAAAATTGAGAGTTTTAACTAATTCCCTGTTTTGATCCTGTCGTTGTTTATTTTTAAGTCAAATCTAATTAGAGATATCATGACAATCTTCACTTTTTAAAATTTAAAAGGATGTAATTTTAAAACTGCTTTTACTAAAGCTTGGAATATTTGAACATGTTATAATGTCGAAGGGCGATATCATGGTGCACTTGACGGTTTTCAAAGAAACGATATTATTTTCTTAGAATCTTTGATCTGATCACAAAAGTTTGCAACATAGGAAATGAACTTTTAGAAATAAAAAATTTTTGGATTTCTTAATATAACATTTATTAAGAAGTAGCTAGAAAGACTTATTTTTCAGAATGAAAAAAAACCAAATGCTTAAAAAAATTAATAAAAGCGTAAGCCATAATTTTTCACTTCATAAACGTCTTCTTGGGATCGGGAGCCCCACCTTTTCTCAAAATACTCAAAATAGTAATAGTTTTATGGTAGAGATTGATTAATATTTTATAATACAGAAGAAGTATTTCAATTCCTCTGTAAATATTTTTTTGTAATTTTAAATTCAACATATTATCACCTTTGGAATTCGCTTTTTTATAAAAACGTTTTGGCAGTTGGTTCAAACTTTTCATTGTCAACGTGATTTAATAATTATTCAAAACTTTTGGCTATCTTTAGGGATAGCTGAAGTGTAATTTTGGATTAACTAGGTGTTAACTTTTAGTTGAGAGATGTATATGAAAACTTCCCTTGTTTTATCTTGATTTAATTTTATTATTTTGTGTAAAATAATTTTAGTTATTAAAAAAATGCATTGCATTTTTCAAAAAAGTAACCGCTTCAATGTTTCCTCCCAAGATCAAAACCATATCAATCAATAAAAAAACCGTTCAATTAATATAATTACCGAAACAATATGTACAAAGAGACATACAAGTGCATCGGCGTGTCATTGTTTGTGACAGCAGCAGAAGCCACTCGGTTGACTTGTGCGAGCCCCTGCCGATCGAGGGTTATGCAACGCGCCGGTGTGTCGTGCGGAGCCGGTTGCCGGCTTAATGAGCGAGCGATTCGATTAAGGAAAAAGGTGCGTAGGGCGGGCCGGCCAAATTGGACGAGCCGCCAACTGTTGAGTTGTGTCGTGCGTGGAGAAGGAGGCTGAGCGCGCAGCCCTTGGCCCGCCGCATCGCTCGGGTTCAGTGTGCGGCCGGCCAGCATGACGAGCGAACCGCCCCGTCACGTGCACCGTCGGAGAAGAAACCGGCCTCGGAAGCACCACGCCATGGAGCCTCTGCCGCCAGAAGCTCTCACCGCCTCCAGGTAGGAACACCTCCGCTCTCTCTCGGCGGCCGCTCGGCCTGGCCGCTCTCTTTGCTTCGCCTGCATCTGCTTTTGCCTCTCATGCTTTTCACTCTGCGGATTTTCAAATATATATCTTGAATTTTAATTTCATTTATTTACACGATTTTCCTCTATTGGACTTACAATTTCTCGACGGCAAATTTCCGAAGATATCAGTACAGAAAAAGTACTTCACATTATATCATAACATTATTGACAAAACATTGTATCAGGTTTTATTATAATTTTTTAAATTTTATTTTTATTTTTTTTTTAATCTTCCCACTTTGTCAAACATATTTGTAATGTGAATTGAAATTATGGTATTCTAAATTATTAGACTTAGATTTTAAGACATAAATATTAGTAAATATTTTATCATTTTCAGTTTTTCAACCTTTTCTTTATAGCTCATCACATTAAAATTATTTTATACTGTATATAATTTAAAATTTATGAAAAATTGGCTTCAATACTTTCATCAAACCAAATATTTTATATTGGTCAAGTTTACCTCATCTACTTATTTTTTATATAATGTATTTGTTTTTATTTTATTTTACATCTTTAATAATTTTTTTATTCATTTCAAACAAACATTTAATTTTAATTTTCTATTATAAATCATTTAGTTTAATAATACAATTATAAAATATTTTTCTATCCAACCATTTTTGATTATATTTTAAAATTAATTTCGGTGAAGACGGACTTTTCTAGTTGTTTGTTTACCTTGAATATTTAAAACTATGAAAAATCAATGTTATATTTGAAAATTAAACAACATACTCAAACATTTGCTTAGCATGATTAAACTGTTTTTAAATTTATGCTTAACCATCACATATTATGTTGGATACACAATTTGCATGTTATTTTTACCGCTAGGTTAATTAATATTTGCGAGGCGCATCCAGTCAGCAAAAGCAAACGTGTACACCAAACAACGCCGTGTCCAAACAAAAGAGCAAAGTTTATTCCAGCAGGAACGATTATTCACGTTTCGAAATTTTGCAATGGGTTCGCACAACCAGCACTGAACGCAATTGATCACTTTCCGGGTCTTGTTTTTTATTTACCTTAATTATTCTGCCATGCACGAGTCTCATTAAAAAACCTCTATAGGCGCGTATCCAATTTGCATCTTAATGGAATCGTGACTTTCATTCCAACACCGGCTATTTGCATTTTCACCAAGTATTTATATTTTCATCTGCATTCAAATTTTTCCCTCTTTTGAGCGAGATTATCACTTAAGGCGAGTGATACGAGACGAGTTGAAAGCAATTCCGTGTAGTTTGTTGGAATTCCTTTGTGGTGCAAATACATATAGTTGTGTTTGCATCCACAACATGAATTTGACCCTGACTCCGATCCATAAAGCTCTCAATCTAACTTAAGGCTTCACTATTGGAGCCATAATAATCGACCTTATAACCATTGGGCGCACCGCGGTTATTTCACTTTGGACATCAACAATGCAAATTGAATCGTAGGCTATTTTTATATCCCTCCGAGTTGTTGCTAAGCGGCGGAGTGGACAGGCAATACAGTATAAACTGATTCTGCCCCAGAAATATACCCAATCTCCCAAATTTAGACTTATTTTCATATTCAAATGGGATTGTTAAGTGTGCACCTGATGGCAATAAGAGATTATTTATAGTTTATTCTCGAAATGTATACCTTTTTTTACCAAACAAGAGACTATGACAACTAGGAATTTATATGTTTTGCAATCCTTGTTTCAAATCTAATTTTTTTTTTTAAATTAAAAAAAATGTGACAGTAGACACAAAAATAAATTCAGATAACTGCAATAGAGAATTTATTATTGTTTAAAAATATTTGATTCTCAATTTCTATATTTAAAATTTTCCTGAATTGATTAATTTTGTAAAGTACATTATTGAATCCTTTGTTCCATTTGTGTCAGACATAATTTTTTTCTAGATAAAAGGCATTGTATTTAAATTTCACAATAGAGGATTTTTCCTTACTTAAATTTCTCTTATATCCTTCAGAGAATTTCAGCTCTTCCAAAGATTCACTTCAAGCGCATGTTTGACAGACAAAATTTAAAGCACACTTCATAAATCACTTCTAAAATAATCCAACACAAAAACAGTCTCGGCCGCAATATGTCGGCGTGCGTCCAAAACAGCAGTGCAAAAATCGCAAGCTTCTCCTTCCGTCAAGCGACGACGTCGTTTGATTTATCGGTCTATTTTTACCTGCTGATCAAAGCCCGTTAATTATGCTTGCTGAGCAAGCTGCATCAAATAATCTCGGCCGATTTCTATCTTGGGCGAGCACACAGCGTCTTGCATGAGCAAACTCGGAGCTAATTCTCGCTGAGAGTCTCACTCTCGTCAAATGGAATACATTAATTTATTTTCCGTCATTCAAAACCAGCAGTTTGACCTTTCTCGGTTTACTCAAGCCTCGTTGGGGAAAGTGTGCTCTCTGGAAGTAGAGGCGTGGCAGATTGCTTTTTTCCATTCTCGGCGCTGGCAATGGAATGTGTTTTTCAAAATGAGCTCCCAGGAGATGAAGAGCTGACGGAGATAATCACAAAGAAAGTTTTCCCATTCCCTTTGCTAATCCTTGTGTCCGGGTAAATTTCCAGGACCAAAGTAGAACGGGAAAGAAAATATAAAAGGAGTATGAGTTTTATTCAAATCTGATTTCTGTTTGCTCAAAGTTTTTGTTGAAGAATTTATTAAAACCAAATTTATTCCTCAAACTTCTTGATAAATATTAAAGAAGAAAAAAAATTAAATAAATATGATTTAATCTCTATAGAGAAGGCGAAAATATTTAAGAACATTTTAGAGAACTTAGAAACTAAATTATTTTTTTTCTATTATTCTACTTTTTATTGAAATTTATAAATTTATTGCCCTGTTTGTTGAACTAATTTTAAGACAAACCTTCCTCGTTCACACAAAAACTTACATTTAAGAATTTTGAAGGTAATGTGTGATGCTTCATATATTATCAGCTGAATGCTGAACTCTTGGAAAGTGAAATGAAACAAAGAGTTAAGAGTTAACTACTTATTATATACAAATTTAGAAAAATAATCAATATGCATCTTTTACACTCTTGAAATTTAAAACAGTTGAAAAATTATAAAATAGATCAAGTTTTTTTTTAGTTCAGTTTTTGCTTGATGTTTTTGAAATTTAATCAACTCTGGAACACAAATTTTTACCGAGAGCACACTCTTGTAGTTCTACATTTTTTGGAGGCGTGCGACGAACACGCCTGCTGCGTTCATTATATACGCGCAAAAATGATAACTGGGTTTTTCGGCCGTAATTCAAATTTATGGCTGAGCTCGCAGTGTGCTTGTACATACGTATTTATCGCCGTGGTGGTTGGGCGGATGCGTCTCTCCCTCTTTTGATATAAAAAGTCGCCGCGGCTGCGATAAATTTACGAGCTCTTATCCCTGGGAGAAAAACGCAACCCGCCGTTCAATCATGCTCCTGTGCCAGAAGCATCGTTCTGAGTGGAAAAAAATATCGCAGTAATTACATCTCGAGTAAAAATAATCCTCTCAACTATCAAAGGATATTCGGAGAGTTCCAGATAAAAGGCTATAATAAAATTGCTAATTATTTTTCCTATAATTGTGCAACTTTTTCTAAACTTTTTTAAACAAATTTTTTCTGCCTCCTTTCGCAATATGCAGCCAAGCGGATTTTCTGTATTGGACGTTTTTAAATATGTACGCGCGGCCCTCGATCGTTTTTCATTCCGACGAGCAGTTAGCTCATTACCCACCCCACACAGCAAAGAAGAAGTCGAGTATCAGCAGCAAAAAGGGCCCAATTTATCTCGCCGGTCTGTGTGATTTGTGGCTCGTGTAGTACATTGAGATTGTGGAGCACGATAAAGAGAGACGAGCGTATTTTGCATGCAAATTTGTTCTCGCGTAATTTAATTCAGGCTGAAGAATAAAGTCAACTGCTTTTTGAGATAAAAATGAAAGTAACTTTAAAATTGTGATGAAATTAAATTTTAAAAAATTACTTTTTATAAAAATTAATAATGCATACATTTTCAGCAGTTGAAATGGCAATTAAATTTAAATGGTTAAAGAAAATATTTTTTTTACATCAATTAAATAATATAATGGCTTTAACGTGGTTTATTTATAAATTGCTGTTTAATTCTGTAAATTCTTGAATAAAAATGGCAATAAATACGTTTTTAAAGGAGGAATTTCCAGTTTCTTCTCTAGGGCGTGCAGGAAAGCAATTTATGAATGAATGAATGATTCCACTTACTTAGTATTGGTTGCTGTGGGAAGCTTGTGTGTACTTTTCGTTCTTAACATCCGATCGATTTTCAAGAGTTAGAAAGCAAGAGAGGCGAACGACCGGTCGTATATGTGCTGTGTACACCATCAAAAGTTAAAGTGTACAATTTTATTTATTGCCGTCGATGTTATCAGCCTTCCTGAATTTTACTGCTCCCGGGGCAGTTTTCGCCTACAAAATACCTGTGGAAATTTCTCTCGCGCCGGTCAACAAGTTACGTGCACGGAATGTACATAAGAAGAAAGTACAACACGTACAATTGGTTGCCACGGGAAATGAAAATTTGATGCGTTATCGCGAGCGAAAACAAAACTGCTCGATCACGCATGCGAACGGCGGCTTGTTTTTCTTCAAGACGCCGCGCCAGATTCGTGCGTAATCAAGTAAGGAGGCCTCTTTCATCAGCCCTTTGCCAGGGCCACGCCACACTACTTGGCGTCGCTCGATCTAATCAGGACCCGCCAATCTGTCACGAGTAAAAAACAGAAGCGTGTGTAAAATAAGAAAAAGCAGAGAAAGGCGCTGAACTTGTAGACTTTCACTGAGATTTCCTGACAATTTTGAACATTCAACTACGAAAAGCTAGGAGCATTGTAAATAAATTCTTCTGTTTACAATTGTAAACTTTCAGCCTTGTCCTTCAACTGC